GCCCTTGGGTCCGCTCACCGGGATGCCAGATGGAGCAGGGGCGCAGAGTGCCTGGGCAGCTCCGAGCGCAGCGCAGAAGAACGGCGGCCGCTCGCTGCTCCGGCAGCTCTTAAGGGGCGCGTCGCCAGCCGCCTATTGGTGGCTATTTATAGCCCATTCATTCCATTGGCCAGCGCTTTAGGGTGGTGCCGCTGCTTTGTCCGAGGCGACAGCCCCGGACACCCCTAGGCGCCCACCCCAGCGGTCCCCGAGTCTGGGCTCGGCCGCGCAACTTGGCCATCTCCGCGGCGCTCGCTCAGGACCCTGAAGACGGAGCCCAGGGCCTTAGATACCCTAGAGCTGCTCCACGCGCACTGCTCCGGGGCAGGGGACCGAGTCTGGAAAGCCAGCGCTTGAGGCTCCTGCCTTTCCTGCCTCCGTCTTGTCAGCCGGGCCACAGTGGCCAGAGCGTCCAGGTTTCTAACCTTAGGTACGGCAACCATCCAGGCAGTACAAGATGGCACGGAGCCACTGACCTTCCTCAAGGTGCCCGCGGGCATCTCCTGGGTGTTCTTGGTGCAGCACCAGAGGCGCAGTCTGGCTGTGGTCCCGCCCGGAAGCACCCAGGGTGTTCTGACCTTGGGCAGGCTCTGAGGAACGGAGCCAAGACCCTGCGACCCAGACCCTGAAAGATTCGAGACACTGAGCTCTGAGAGGGTGTTTTTGATTCTCCAACCCCCTCCCCAACCCCTGGCCCTCTCCTCAGGGGACCGGTTTCTACCCCCACCCACCCACCCACAAAGACAGTACCCACGGTTGGCAGGCAAACTCTGGGTGTGGAGGAAGCATCGGAACCAACACATCGGAACAGTCGCTCGCTCTCCCCTGCCCCCGACAGGTATGGGGAGACCTGGAGGGGAGGCCTGGAAGACTGACTGTAGCCCGTGCCGGCTGTGCGCTGGAATGTGTGAGGACAGGCTTTCCCACCCTGCCTGCAGCTGCCAGCCGCTTCATCTTTTCTGGAAAGTAATTTGGCAGTATTTATTAAAATACTTCTAACTCCATGACCTAGCAATTTCACTTCTAGGAATCCACCCTATAGAAAGAACTGTGTCCCCTCTCTGCACATAGATCAGGAAGCACGTGGAGGGAAAGACAAGTTCAGAGTGGACCCGATGCTAGGCCTGCAAGCATGCAGGATGGTGGGTGCCGCAGCTGATTAAAAAAAAAAAACAAAACAAAAAAAAAAAACCCACAGAAGTGAGGCCAGGCGAGGCGCTGCACGACTTTAATAAGAATTCAGGAAGCAGAGGCAGGCCAGTCTCTGTGAATTTGAGGACAGATTAGTTTACAAAGTGAGTCCAGGACAGCCAGGGCTCTTTTACAGAGAGAAACCCTGTCTCAAACACATCCACCCACAGCCCTCTCACGGCTGGACTAATAAAGCAATGAGAGACGCCTTCATCTTTGTGCGTTTGACAGAATTCCTCCAGTCGTTTTGTCTTTGAGACATTCCCTCCATAGCCTTGGCTGGCCATGCTGGTCTCAGACTCGGAGGTCTGCCCGCCTCTGCCAACCGAATACTGGGATTAAAGGTGTTCTCCACCATACCCTGAGAGCCTAGTTTTGGAGAAGTAATAGCAGACTGAGGAAGGGAGGAGCAAGAACACAGTCAGCCCCGGAGAAAGGAGCAAGGGGCATAGGGACCCTGCCTCTCTGCTGGGGGTAGGCAGCACTGAGCAAATGACTGCAGGAGGGATGACAGGAATTCCAGGCTTTGAGAGAATATGCAGAAGGCTCTGGAGCAAAGGACTTGGGGCAGAAGACCTGCCTGCCTGCCTGCCTCTGCCTGGGTGAGCAGGAAAAGCCACCGTTGTTCTGTCCTCAAAGCTACTGCAGAGAACCCACCGTTTTCTTGCTCACCTCAGCCAGCTTCAACCTATTCTAAGACAAGAGCTCATAGACCAGGCTCCTCCTGTCTTGGCCTCCCAAGTTCTGGTGTTCTAGGGTTGAGCCACCAAGCCCAGGTCCAGTCACTATTTTGTAGGCCAATAAAACAAGCCCACATAAGAAGGTATGTGCTGGGCATGATGGTGTCCAACTCCTTTAATTCCAGCACTCAGGAAGTAGAGGCAGCTGGTTTTCTGTGTGTTAAGGCCTGCCTAGTCTACATAGTGAGTTCTGGGACAGCTAGGGTGACATAGACCATGTTCTCAGGGGTGGGGGTTGGGGAAGGCAGCAGGAAGATCAGGAATTCAAGCCAGTCTGGGCACCCATGAGTTCTTGTCTCAAATAAAAACTCTATCCGACGGCTAGACAGCAGGTGCGCCATAAGCCTGTAATTCCTGGATTCTGTGCCCCCTGCAGCCCCTCCCCCACCTCAGAAATATCTGTATCCGCCTGCCTACCCAGTCCCTGCCCCTATCAAGGAAGCTGCTTTTGCCTAAGCCCCAAGTGCTCAAGTTTCTGTTTGTAGAAATAGAGAGGAAGCAAACTTGGTGTCCAGTCTGGGGTGGGGGTAGGGGGCTCAGGGCTTCCTCTTTCTCTCCAGCATTTACAGCTTCTCAGCCCCCCTTCCCCTTCCCCTTCCCATCTCCCTTCCAGGGCTCTAGTAGAGGTGAGATACAGAAAGCAGGACTGCAGGGTCACCCACCCCAGTAGTAAACCACACCCAGCACTGGCACAGGCTCTTGTGATCTTTAGCCTCTGTCCCATTCTACTACAGATACATAAAGGAAGACTGGTTGTTGAGGGAAGTGCTGCCTCGGAGGTCCAGATATCCCCCGACGGCCCTCGGGTGACGAGGCTTCATACAGCAGAGTGGCCAGACAGCTGTAGGCCAGGTGACAGCAGGGTGGGGAGATGAAGGGGCCTTCACAGCCTTCAGACCACAGTATCAATGTGAGGCCCCCGCTGGGCCCATTGCTTGGAAGTCCGGTGGCCCTCAGAGCAAGGGAGCAGTGATGGTCTGCTGCTCAAGCCTGTCCCTGACTGTGGATCCTCTTCTTCCTTCAGACTCAGTAGCTGGTTTGGCAGCTTCTGGGCCAAAAGCTGGATGACATCACCCAGCAGATTTATGGTCCCCTCTCCTTAGAAATCACACCAAGTCATACATTAACCACAGGGCTGGAAGAGGCCTCAAGGGAGTTCCAGGTCTTTCACAGAGCAGGGTCCAGCCCAGCAGAGCAAACGAAGACATAGATAGGGCCAGGCTCCAAGTTCTACACAGAGGCCACCCGTAGTCCGGGCCCAGGGTGCACCGCTTCCTCCCTTTGCCCTTGCTCATGGAATGCAATGGGGATTTTGTCAGGAGAGGGGCAGGGGCTACAGGGCACAGGGCAGCAGGAGGCTGTGCCAATCAAAGGGGACCTGCCAGAGGTGCAGGCTCCCCTCAAGACCTCTTCAGCTTCTCCTCTGGGGCTGCCTCTGCTCTTGCTCCTCCCTTCAAGTGTGCTATCGGTTCTTTAAAACTAGGCTTTGGACTTCGGTCCCTCAGGGCATGGTGGAATACACCTTTAATCCCAGTATTCAGTAGGCAGAGGCAGGCAGATGTCTGAGACCAGCATGGTCTACATAGTTCCAGGCCAGCCAAGGCTACGTAGGGAGATTACATTCTGTCTGAAAGACAAAATGTAATCCTACTTGAACCAGGTTGCCCGTATGATGTTAGAAAAAGGGTTCAATGACATGACAGTTGCACAAAGCATCAATTCTTGTTAGGAGAACCCAGTGTATAAACTGCCATGGGAAATCCCCCTACTCCACCAGCTGGGGTCTCAAGGAGACTGGTTCTGCTTAAAGACTGCAGGCCGAGGCTAGGCATGACAGAAGGCTAGGTCTGAGACTGAGGGTGGACTGGAGAAGGACACAGGAAGGACTGGGAAGCCAGCAGTGGGCAGCTGGGATCAAGGGAAAACCCTGGCTGAGCTCATAGGCTGGGTGGAGACAGTCGGGACTGGTCTCCATGCCGCTGAGAAGCTGGGGGAAGAGGAACCTCCCAGGGGAAGCGGAAAGTCTAACTCTCCAGAGGAGCAATTAGGATGTGCATTGGGCTGTGCAGCAATAAGGGAGTGAAGCAGCCTGCTAGAGCAGGGGTTGTGGAGCCGTGGGTATGGCTGGGATGTCTCGGCTAAAAGCGTGACTCCACAGCACGAGAGACCAAGAAAGGCCCTTATTGCCTGTCCTTCCAGGCCATGGGATCACAGCCAGCCAGGGCGGGGACCTGAGGAGGTCTGAAGTCAGGCCCCTGGCTTTCTAAGGCAAGGACACCACAGGGTGGCCTAGCCTGGGCGCAGAGGATTCCCACAGGCCGGCAGGACTCTAGAAAAGGCAGGCTTGTGGGGGCTATTTTACTAGGCTACAGTAGCGTCCTGCCGGAGAGCGCAGCCTGGAATTGGGCGCTGCGACACTCTGCTATAGCTGGTCTCATCCCCTTCAGCTCTGCCAGCTGAGGTCTACAGGAAGGCTCCCCACTCACGCTCCCTGCCCCACACCGCCTCCCCTCTCCACTGCACACGCTCCACTCCCTTCACGAGGAACCCAGGAGGGCTCCGGATCAGCTCGGCAGAGACAAAACACCACCCCAGCTTCCCCTTTCTGCCCGGCCGCTAGCAGCTCCTCCCCCAGGTCACGTGTGAGCCCAGTTCCTAGTCTCTCAAGATGCCAGGGAATGTAGGAAGGGACTCTAGACTCCCTTTCCCTCAGGCAGGGCCTAGCCTAGGGACAATTTTGCAGAAGACTCCAGACTAACCCTGCTTCTTTCACTCGACCTGGCCCTCGCCAAAGCCTTTGCTCTGGACTCCACTTTTGGGGATTCATCCTGGAGCTCAACCAAGGTGGTTTTGGAGTCGTTTGCAATGACAAAATGTCCTGCAGGGAGGCCCTCGGGTTTGACAGCTGTCAAAAGTGCGCTTTGGGGTCAGGTGTATCCCGCGGGCAGAAGCCTCTTGCAGTGGGCAGCCGTAGGAGGCCGCATGCGGTCGAGCCGCTGGCGAACAGGGGACTTTTATTTTGCATAGGGCTCGGATCTCTTAGGCAACGCGCGAGCGTGCACAGAGGACCGCAGCCCGGAGACGCCGGCCAGAAAACGTCCTCTGGGAGCGCCTAAAGGACAGCGCGGCGGCTCCCAGCAACCACCGCGTGGGCCTTAACGTCATCAAAGAGCGCCGGAAGCGTGGCGGTGATAGCCGAGCCACGTGTGGAACCGAGAGCTGGCGTCAGCTGGGTAAGTTTCCGAGCTGGGATGCGGAGCTCGGGCGGGAGCGGCGCTGCCGGCTTGCTCGCAGGTCCTGTGCTGTTGCGCGGGAAGCCAGCCTTCTCTGCCGTCGGGAGGCCTCCTGGGGACCTTGGGCAAAAGGGTTCCGGAGAGTCCGGGCTCGGAGGTGACTTCGCTCCTCTTGCTGGTGAACGCCTCTCAGAGGCCACCGCCTTCACAGCCTGGGAATGGAGAAAAGACTATGTTCTTGGTCCTTTCTGTGTGGGGATTCTTGGGCCTCTACCATTGTGCACTCTCTTGTTTTCCCCAGATCCAGAAGGGTTCTCCATATGTTAGGCCCAGAGTGCAGCTCTGTTCGGTTGCCCGAGCAAAAAGTCAGCTACTCCCAACCATACTGCTTAGAACCCGGACCCCACAGACCTCTGCCCCGACCACAGAACCTCATCCTGCTTCCTGGTCCTCTGACTTCACACCCACACACTTCCTCAGGTCCCTGACCCTTGGCAGACGCTAACATTATGAGTTTCGTGGCATATGAGGAGCTGATCAAGGAAGGCGACACGGTCATCCTGTCGCTGGGCCATGGCTCGATGGTGGCGGTGCGTGTGCAGCGTGGGGCGCAGACCCAGACCCGGCATGGTGTCCTGCGGCACTCAGTGGACCTCATTGGCCGCCCGTTTGGCTCCAAGGTGATCTGCAGCAGAGGCGGCTGGGTGTACGCGCTGCACCCCACTCCTGAGCTCTGGACAGTGAACCTACCCCATCGCACACAGATCCTCTACTCCACAGACATTGCCTTACTCACCATGATGCTGGAGCTGCGGCCGGGTTCTGTGGTCTGTGAGTCAGGTGAGCTCCCCTGGTGTTTTCACAGCCGAGCACCTTCATGAAAGTGGGAGTCAGACACACAGTTAAGACAGTTTGCAGGTGCAGAGGTGCACGCCTGTGATTCCAGCACTTTGGGAGGCAGAGGCAGGTGGATCGCTGTGAGTTCAACCCCAGCCTGGTCTACAAAGCGAGTCCAGGAGAGCCAAGGCTACACAGAGAAACCCTCTCTCGAAAAACGAAAAACAACAACAGAAATCCCAAACAGCCAAACGAAGTTTGCAAGCCTTCTTGCAGATGTGTGTTGAACTACTTGGATTTCTATTTAGCTTTCACTTAACGATTCCCCTTGCCAGGGAGAGAGTGGCTGTGAGGCATGAAGACAGAAGGCAGAAAAAATTACTAGCTGGTATCATTGAATTGACAACTGGTGGGGACTGACCTGGGTTGGAGAAGGAAGAGAGTCTGTGAGGGTCTTGGCAGTCTCTGGTGGGTGAGGGCTGGGCTTGCTGGGTGCTGGCCAAGGTGCTGACTACTCATTTCTAGGCCCGCTGTTCCTTCCTGGAGAAGGGTTGGTTTACCCCAAGAGCTCACTGTAGAGAGAATTCTGCCCCACACTTATTCACAGCCAGACCCCTTACCTAGCTCCATTGAAGATTAGCACTGTTAGTGATTCAAGGCCAGTGGGTGGATAGAAATGCCAGAGAGTGAGCTCTTCCACATACACAGCTTTAGGTAGTATGGCCTCTGGATGTGCAATCTACGCATGTGCCTCTGCCAAGAATGACTCCAGGATTGGATGTGGCTAGATTGTTGCTAGTGTGTTTCTTCCTGGGTTAGGAAGCTGGGGTCCAGGGTCAAAAGAGTTCACATTCTCCCTGCTGCTAGCTTTCTGGGCCTTTGCACCGCTTTCTCCTGCAGGGAGAATTTGGAGGCAGTTTTAAGCGCTCTCCTCATGTCCCCTGCCTTAGACGGCGTCCTCTCAGGCTCTCACCCCATTTCAGTTGACCTACTCCTGTGGCCCCTTCCCCGTCCTCAAAGAGGGCAGGCAGTGAGCCTGGTGACCCTGGGTGCTATTGACTAAGAAGTGCCTAACACAGGGAAGCTTACTTGAGGGCGATTTAGAGGGGTCCCCAAACTCAGGAAGTCAGGGATCTGGGGAGACCTTTGAGTTAAAAATGATGAGGTACTACTAAAAGCAAAAGAAAAGCTGTACCAATGCCCTGAGGCAGGAGCACAGGCTTGGTGAGGAGGTCAGTGTGGCTGGAGGGGGAAATGAGGGCGATGGAGCGGTAGATGAGGTTGGAAGGGCAGTAGGGTTCCCTTTGGAGGGCTATCAGGAGTCTGGAGTTGCTCTTGAATGGGAAGATAAGCCCTGCCACTGTGAAAAGCATGGGTCTGATTGACAGAAAAAAGAACAGAGGCAGGACTAGAGGCCACAGATAGCTGAGGGCGGGACCTGGCAGGTTAGAGGTAGGGTGGGAGACTAAACAGTCTGGCCCCTGCAGTGGGTCTCCTGGGTCTTAGAGTGATCAGGGTTGGATGGTCCAGCTTTGCTCTTAGGGTTTTATTGGGGGGGGAGGTCTTGTAAGAGCACTGCTACAGTAGGGTCAAGAGGACACATTGCTGGGAGTGGTCACCAAGCACGGGTACTTGGAGCTGTTGAAGGGCCAGTTATGGGCATGAATGCAGGCAGAGCTAGCTCAGAGTGTATGACCTCTGGTGAAGAAGGGCAGCCCTGCCTCCAAGGAAAAGTAGTGGTTTTGTTTGTTTGTTTGTTTGTTTGTTTGTTTGTTTCTCTCTCTGTATAGCCCTACCTGTTCTGAAACTCACTCTGTAGACCCGGCTGGCCTTGAATTCATGAATTCAGAGATCTATCTGCCTCTGCCTCTTGAGTGCTGGGATTAAAGGCATGAACTACCACTGCCTGACTGAGTGGAGAGTTTATTTTTTTATTTTATTTTAGGTTTTTCGAGACAGTATGTAGCCTTGGCTGTTCTGGAACGCACTCTTTTTTCTTTTTTTATAATTTATTTTTATATTAATTACAGTTTATTTATTTTGTGTCCCAGCTGTAGCCCCCTCCCTCATTCCCTCCCAACCCCACCCTCCCTCATCTCCTCCTTGCCCCTCTCTAAATCCACTGATAGGGGAGTTCCTCCTCCCCTTCCATCTGACCCTAGTTTATCAAGTCTCATCAGGACTGGCTGCATTGTCCTCTGTGGCCTAGCTAGGCTGCTCCTCCCATGGGGGGTGGGGAGGTCAAAGTGGAACTCACTCTTTAGACCAGGCTGGCCTCAAACTCACAGAGTTCCAACTGCTTCTGCCTCCTGAGTGCTGGGATTCAAGGCATGCGCCACAGCCACCCAGCAATTGGAGGCTTTTTGACTTTTTTATGGGATGGGTGGAGCAGGTTGGCTTTATGTCAGATGAGTTTGAGCAACAGCAGGAGAGTTGGCCCTGTACTGTGGGGATAGACTTAGCCAGTTTGGGGGTGTGGGAAGGATGAACTGAGTGAGTCAAGGATCTCATGGGAGGAGGTAAAAAAATGGGCAGCAAGGCCTATGGATAACCATCGTGTGGAAGAGGCTAGGTCCCAGGATAGGACAGGCTCTGCTTAGACTCACCCTGTGTCAGCCCCCTGAAACCATGCTTCAGATTCATTCTGTGTGTACACTGGGTGGGGCTGCTCCTTCCCCACATGTGCCTGTACTACATAGCTCTTCAACTTCAGCCTCAACACCCCAAACCCAGGCCAAAGGCTGCCAAGAACAGACAGGTAGCTCGTGGTGTGACATCCACCTCAGACCCTGGCCCAGCTGCCGTCTTATGCCTGCTATGAACTCCTTCCTCCTGGAGAGGATGAAGGTTTATGGGTAGGTGTGGTCCTCAGGTGACCCCGCAATCCCATCTTGTTCCTCCTGCCAGGCACGGGCAGTGGCTCTGTCTCACACGCCATCATCCGCAGTATCGCCCCCACTGGCCACCTGCACACGGTGGAGTTCCACCAGCAGCGGGCGGACAAGGCCCGGGAGGAGTTCCAAGAGCATCGGGTGAGCCAGTGGGTGACCGTGCACACCCAGGATGTGTGCCGCAGCGGCTTCGGCGTGGTCCGCGTGGCTGATGCGGTCTTTCTGGATATCCCATCACCCTGGGAAGCTGTGGGCCATGCCTGGGATGCCCTCAAGGTTGAAGGTGCGTCGGTGGTCAGTGGTGGTGCTAAGGGTGCTTGTAGGGGATTAAGCTTCTGGGTCATCTGGAACCCAGGAAGACCCTGGTTCCTGTAGGCCACTGAGTGGCAACGGCCAGATCATGGCTCCTTTTTTGCCCAAAAGTGAGCCCTAGCTGGAGACCAGGGTTAGGGAAGATGAGTCCCATTCTCCAGCCAAGACAGGAACTCACTGGGGCAACTCCATCCAAGTGCAGGCAGGATCTGCATGACGGGACGGGCCAGGATCCAAGCTGGAGGTCATACGCAGTCCCCTACCCCTGCCATTTCCTGCATTCTCCCTACACCCCGTGCTACTGAGCCAGGCAGCTGGACCCTTTTAGGGAAGATGCTGGGTGTGGAGGTGGAGCGATGGGGAGGCCTGGGGAAGGTCGGCTGCCAGCCAGAGTCTGAGTCCCAGTGATTTTGCCTTTTCTGGAGAAGAAGCAAGCTTGGCAACCAGGGCTGCTCTCCTCCCAGCTCTGTACACAGGGTGGAGGAGCCTCTCAGACAGACCTCAGGTTCTGCCCAGACCTCTCTGCCTGCTGCCTGCTGAGATGCTCTAGAGCTGGGAGTGGGCAGAGGTCCACACCTCACAGTTCTCTGACACGGGGTCTTTGGTCAGTCCAGCCTCAGTGAGGCCTGAGCCAGGCAGGTGAGCCTCCTTGCAGAGTAGTCAGAGGCACCTATGCCTGCTTTTTGGTCTTGTCCCATGTCCCCTTCTGGGCTCTTTCCCCAGATCTTCATGCTCTGGGTCCTTAGGTGCCTTTTTCACAGGCCTGGTGTTTTCTAGCACTGCTTATCTCTGGTGGCCTCTGGCAAGAAGTATTTGGTGTGACAGTGGGCCCCCTATGCTGGCATCAGGCCTCCTCCTACCTGCAGATGTCCAGTGTCAGGGAGCCCTCTGGGTACCAGGCGTAGGGACATTTGTACATTCCCACTGCCTGCCCAGACTTGCTCATGATCTCTACCAGGATAGGGATAGGGCATTTTCACAGTCTCTGGGCCAGCTGAGTGAAGGCTGTGGGCTGCCCCAGTGGGAGGCAGCAGGGAGGAGCTCAGACTGCTCTCTTTAGGCTCCTCCCGTTCCCAAGAGCCAACGACAGCCTCTAATTTTCTGTGACAGCAGCGGCCCACACACCGCCCCATGCTGCCCTATTGTTAGAGCTATTCTTGGGCCTGGCTCTGACAGCCCTGACCCCCAGCCCTCCACTGCCTCCTACAAGAATGGTGATGCCTTCTGGCATCCAGGGAGACCTAGGTATCTTGGTCTAGGGCCTGATTGCTGACCTGGGCTCCTGCCCCAGTGTGGGCCAGCAGGTCAGGTATAATTGTACAGCTTCCTGAGGCCCCTGCATAGCTCCCTGGTCTGAAGGCTTACAGTCTGCAGGATTTTACAGTCTGTAGGATATCCTGAGCTAGCCTCAGGTCCTGGGTGGGTTGCAGGTGCTACTGCCCTGCCCTCAGCCCCCATGTTTTGCTCCTACAGGTGGACGCTTCTGCTCCTTTTCTCCGTGCATTGAGCAGGTGCAGCGAACGTGCCAAGCCCTGGCAGCCCGTGGCTTCACAGAGCTCAGCACCCTGGAGGTGCTGCCACAGGTCTACAATGTGCGCACCGTCAGTCTGCCCTTGCCTGACCTGGGGGCCAACGGCTCAGAGGCCAGCTCTGATGCCAGCCCCTTCCGTAGTGGCACACCCATGAAGGAGACTGTGGGCCACACTGGGTACCTGACTTTTGCCACCAAAACCCCAGGCTAGTGAGCCGGGACAGGAGCATCACAGACAAGCAAGGAGCAGAGGCTGCCTTATATGGTCAGCCACTGCCTGTGGGGCTTGTGTTTAGAAATAGATGGCAGGGTGGGGCAGGGGCCTTCTGGGTGGTTGAGGGGGGTGAGCAGGCTGACCCTGTTCAGGAGGAAGACATTCCTGTCTTCTGAGAGGGATGCTCCACCTCTTCACTGCCCAGCTCAAGCTCTGCTCTTTGTTGTCAATGTGAAGTTTCCTCTCTGGGCACTGCCTGAAGCCTGGGCTGACCTACGGGCAATGGACTGCTGCACCCCTGGCCCTGCCCTCATCCCCTCTGTACTTCACTGAGGCTGCTGGAGGGACCAGGCTGGCCCTGGGGTAAAAAGAAGTGACTCAGTAACTCGAGGGCCGCACAGGCAACAGGTGCTCACAGACCTGTGCCTAGAGTCCCTGATGCGCTGTCGTCTGGAATTAGGCACCATCCTGTGGAGGTGGAGTCCTGCAGGACAGGTGCATGCCTCCGGTGACCTGTCAAGCCCATGCTGGAGCTAGGGACAAAGAGGGAGTCAGAGGAGGCGGTGCATGGACTAGGATCCCTCGCTGTTGACCTGCTGCATGTGTCACCCGGGGCCTGGTGTCCATTCCCGGTGTGTGGCTGCTTCAAGGGAATCTCGGTGCTCAGATCACACTGGTGTGAGGCTGCCCTCCAGCTGCTGCTGATGTATGGAACCAGCCATTGAGAGAATTGCCTGTGTCATGTTGACCTCTAAGGGCACCTGATAGAGCAATAAACATTTTTGTCTTATGCTGACTGTTCTCCTGGCCGCCGGAAGAGCTGTCCTTCAGCTGAGGTCCAAGCCCACTGCTCCACACATGGCTTCCTGACCTCTGTCCTTTCCTCTCGTCCCTGAGTAGGTAGTGTGGGGTCTCCAAGCTCTAGGACAGCAGCACAGGACTCGCCACAAAGGCACAAGTGTGTGGCTACTTCCACGCACTGCAGAAAGGCCCTCTTGTTCCTAGAGGTGAAGTAGAGAGTCTATGGCTTAGGACACAGGCCTCCCTCTATAGCTCTTGTCAGTGTTCCCAGTGGCAGCTTCCCAGGTGTGCACCCTGTGCAGTGTCAGTCCTGAGAGGCCTGGGTGCTGTTGGAGCTGTTCAGGGGCCCTAGATGCCTAGCCTTGCTCCGGGGCTAACCCTTCCTCCAGGACTTCAGACGTAACAGCTAGCCCGAAGGACAGAGGAGAGGTTCCTGGGCCATGTTCAATATAAAGTGGGTGCCTTCGGTGCCAGCTCTGAAAAGGTTGTAAGCTGGAGTAACTGGGCACCCTGTTACCTGGCCTGACCAGCCCAAGCTCTCTGTCCTCGGGGAAGGACTCCTGGCCAGCAGGTAAAGGGTTAAGAGATGGCGTTGCCATGGAGCAGAGCCTGCTCAGTTGTAGACACATAGACCATATAGCCAGTAAGGGCCAGGTTATGTCTTTTTCTTTGTGGGTCTCACCTGCTAGGGGTCCTGCAGAAGGGACCGTGGCCAAGGCCAGAAAAGGCCAATCTACCTGCTGTCCCATGGGATAACCAGATTCTGGCTTTTGTAGTCTCTGGGCCTTGGAAGATCTACCCAACCCCAGTTAACCTGTAAGCCCAGCCTAGGCTGGAGCTCTACTTGGCACTGAGCATCCTATTTTTGTTTTTGAATCAGGGTTTCTCTGTATAGCCCTGGCTGGCCTAGAACTTGCTCTATAAAACAGGCTAGCCTTGAACTCAGAGATCTGCCTGTTTCTGCCTCTTGAGTGCTGGTATGAAAGGTTTGCACTGCTGTGTTGGCTAAATCATCCTTTCTTGGTTGCTTTCCCAGACTGACCTACTCTTAGGCAGAAGCATTCCGGTCAGCCATGCTCTGTGCATGCCCTACAGTGATCTGCTGAGGGCTTCCTCGGCACAGAAGCCCCATGGCAAAGGAGAGGCGGGGTCCTCCCCGGGTCCTACAGACGGAGCCTGACTCCCAGAGGGCCATCCCTGCACCCATGCTTGCTGAGCCCAGTTTGCTGATCCTGAGTGCACCTGACTCAGAGGCTTGGGACTCGTCATGGGGCAAGATCTTGGAAACTTCCCATCCAGCCTGGCCCTTGGGTCTCTGGCTGGTAGTTTCTCCTTAGCTCTTTCCCTGGCTCACAACCTCCTGCAATTTGACCAGGATAGCGTAGCTCCTTGGCAGGGAGCCTGATGTGGGTGCCCACCCCCGGGGGCACCCAGAGGTGCAGACCCTGGTTAACTGTGGGAAGGACTGCTGGGCCAGGATAGTCAGCTTCCTGGGGTGGACCTTCTTCCTGGCCACCTGAAGTTGTACTCGGGCCTCAAAATGTGCTGCCCTGTGCTTGAGGGGTTTGCAGCAAGAGCCCTGGGATCTAGTGTTGGTCTCCGGGTGAGGAGTGAGTGCTGCTGGAGTTGTCAGGGACACCTTTGCCGTTTCCGATCGTCTAGGTCTCCTGGAACCTGCTCTTGGTGCTGTGCGCTCTTTCCTCCTGACCATTGAACAGTCGGTCACCTCTTCCTGCCTCAGCCTAGTCTGCATCCTGGGAACAGGCAGCCTGCCGGGGACTCCACCGCCAGGGAGATGCGCTCCCTGGCCCCTCCCCAGTGCAAATGCTGCACAGGTTGGAGAAAGAAGTCCTCCTACACAACTTGTACACCGAAAGCCATAGGGGGACTTTGGTGAACACCCTGTGGACTTATGGCCATCCCAGGGTGGCCATAAGGGTGCTCGTGCCTGCGCAGTTTAGGGAGGACCCTCCTTCAGGCCTGCACTCAGGTCATAGGAAAGTGCCCAAACTCCCAGCTCTGCGCCCCCACTGGCAGGAACTTTAACAGCTGGCCTGGTTTGAACCAGACACACAGCGTGGAAGACATGAGCACCAGAGAACAGCAGGGGCTCAACCTTATTATACGGGTCATGGTTGGGGAGACCTCCCGAGGAAGGGACCTCGGGTTTATAGGCAACCTTCTGGGCAGAGAGCCTGGGTGGGAACCTGCCCTCGAGTGCAGCAGGAGATGTGCTCAGTCTCTAGACGCTCTGCTCGGGCTGTGGTGAGTCACCTCATTGTGGGCATGAGACAGTGACTGCCTCGTGGCTGAGTGTGTCACGTCAGTGGTTGGGACAGTCAGCTTACAGGGGAGCGATTACTGCTCCCAGAAGCCTTCCTTCTGGTGGGGGTGGAGGGGTATTCGGCTCAGTAGGTAAAGGCAGGCTCTTGCCACCAAACTTGACCCAACTTCAGTCTCTGGGACCCACATGGTGGGCAGAGTGAACCAGCCCCTTCTGACTTCCGCTGTTCACCATGGGACAAATGAGCACCCTTTCCCTCCTTGCAAAAAGAATAAGCAATGGAAATGTGTGCGTGTGAGCACATGTGAAGGAAAGAACGGCCTCAAGGCCATCCTTAGGAGCGCCACCCGCCTCTTCCAAGACAGGGTCTCATTGGTTTGGAGCTTAGAAGACATGCTTTTTAGCAGCTGAGCTCAGCTCCCTTCTGTTTTAAAATCTAGGGGCAGAATTTGGGTTCTATCTCTGGTCCATCTGAGAAGCAGCCTTTGTGCTCTAGGCAGCAGAATAGCCTTTGCAGCCAGTCTGAATGGCATTTGCACTTCAGGTACTCAGAGCTTAGGCACTTCAGGGCCACTTGAGTCATCAGGCTGTGGAAGAGATTTGCAATGTTTTCTAGGAAGCCAGGGCGTCTGCCGTAGTTCCTTGTGGACTAGAACTGACTGGAAGCCCTGCCTGAGCCAGGTATAAGCCAACAGCCCCTTCTGATCTCTGGGGTTCCCCAGGTGGGTGTACTCATTAGCTGCTGCTGGGCAAGAAGGACCCCCAAAGGGTTGAGGACAACAGACCTGCTCTCGCAAGGCTGGGGTAGAGCAGAGTGGATGGCAGCCTGAGCTGCTGGCTGCCACTCCTGCTCCCGGGACACATGCCAGCGTCACAAGCTTAGGTGCAGCGGGTCCCAGCCCAGCTGCGCTGCTGCGGGCAGGCCTTTGGTCTCCCTGTGTCCACAGTTACTACCCGAGTTGCTAGCTGAAGCATATCGAATGCCTGGCCCTGGGTAGAGAGGCAGCCTGGGGAATGGGAGAAGGAGCAGCGGGTCACTAGTTTGGGGAGATGGACGAGTAAGCTGTGGGCAAAGCCGGCACAGCCCGGCTAGCCTGTGGGCTTTGCACAGGGGTCATCAGCATTTAGGGCCCTGTCCATGCAGAGCAGCCCGGCCAGCCTGCTTTGAGTCTGTTGCCAGGACGAGGGCGTTTCAAAGTCAGGCTGCCTCCAAGGCGGGATCTTCAGCGGGAGGGAATAACTTGGCTCCCACCAGGCTGAGAATAGCTCAGAATTGGGTCACGCTCACCCAGCACGCCGGTCACAGCCTCCAGCCTTTGACAATAATCAGCTTTTTCCCCGACATCTGTCCCTTCGGGGGGGGGAGCATGGGCACATTTTTAGAAGGATGTGAGAGGATGGGAGAGAAAGCTGTTTTTGATGGACAGCCTCCCTTATATGCAAACACCGGACACCCGCCCCCTTTGCTGGCCGCTTTAAACCTCCTGCCCATCCTGTTCCTCCATTCTCAAGACCCTCAGACTCCTGTTCAAACCAAAGCAACCTTGGTGCCACACACAGTGAGGATAGGGGTTGTCTGGGAGGCCCCGAGCCTGGACCTGCCTCCCCACCCACTGCTCTGTGGGCAGCCTAGCTTTTTGTATCCCGAGGGTCGGGTGGCACATGCTGTTTTTCTCTTCTGTGGATGAATGAATAGTAGCAGTGTGCTGCTTTTCCTTAAGGCCTTTGGGGGTTTCTCAGGTCCCAGTGACCTTCACTGAGGCAGCCCAACATGAAATTCAGAAATTGTTCACCCAGATTTACCCAACCACATTTCCATAAAACTCCATTAAGTTTGCCTTGGCTGCACCATGGCCCTGGCCCTCCACAGCCTCGCTGACCCACACATCCAGATCCTGGCGCCTCCTGACGTGCCCTGTCCCAGCAAATGGCAGGTACCAGGCTAGCTGGGGGTCCCCAGGACCTTGCCCACTGAGTCCCGAGTGGCTGGAGCCCGGTGTTCTGAGCCTCCTTGATCTGGAGTCCCAGGGACAAAGGTGACCTAGACCTAGAGCAGTATCCTTCACCATCTGGACCGATGCCCTGGAGGCAGGTCTATAGCTTTGAGCTGAGCTCAGTGCTTCTCCTGGCTCTGGCAGTACCGAGGTGTGTCCTTTCCACCAGATCCTAGGCCTGGGCCCGCACCTGCTTGGCTGGCACAGCTTGTGCGTGCAGAGGTTCAGCTTCGAGTTCCCTCTCTCCAGGAACGGCGTGGTGGGCCTGGGCTGCGGCAGTGTCCTTGCCTGTAAGTTGTCCAGTCAGTTTGTTTGTTTTGTGCACTGTGTGTGGTTGTCATGTGTGGAGGTCAAATGATTTGTGGGGATTGGTTCTCTCCTGCTGTGTGGATCTTACGGACTGAATCGGGTTGTCAGGCTTGGTCACAAGTGTCTTTACCTGCTGAGCTACTGGTTTGAGAAATCTTGGTTTAGCTCCTAGGAAACTCAGATCCCATTGGTGCCTATCTAGTGGAAGTGTCTCCTTTCCCACTGATTACTCCACCTGTTCTTTCCTGGCCTTGACCTCCAGAGTAGTCTTTTGTTGTTGTTTTTGTTTTCCAAGACAGGGTTTCTCTGTGTAGCCTTGGCTATCTTGGTCTACTCTCTTTGTAGACCAGGCTGGCTTCGAACTCACAGGGAGCCACCTGCCTCTGCGTCCTGAGTGCTTGG